ACAGACATGACATACACATCTCCTGGTGAACAGGTAAGTCTTTTGACAATGCCCTTTGCCTTAGCTTTAGATATGCCTGTTGATAGAGAACTTGAACTTTGACCTGCTTTCACGTTTCTGAGCCCTGGCGAGATACCTTTTCACAATGCTTTACTTTTACAAGGTATGTGCTGCGTTACTTTGACAAGGCCTGAGGCCTATTTCGGGTAAAGGCCCTTTTAGAATTATGTGGGGGACCACCCTCTAAGCCTAAGTATTTCCCTTTGTGGTGTTGGATCCTGAGTCTTTATGGTTTTGTCTTTTGTTTTCGAACTCGCAACGAAGTTGCCTTGACTGGTGCCCCTCTTATGATTCACAAATGGATTGCTTTATTTTTCTCTGTTTTTTTATGTTTAACCTCCCATCAGGGTGTGGGGCCGCCTCTTCAGTCTGCACCAGACCGCCAGATCACTCATGTTTCCCTAGCAGCTACTTCCTACTTCCTCTGAATACCAGCCCACCATACCATTGCATGTCGACCATTGCCAGCTGGTGGGGTGGGAAGAGGTCGGGAAATTCTGTGGATGGTCGTAGTGGGATCTCGTGGCCCACCGTAGTCCAGTCTCTGAAGCAAATACGGTAGTCTCTCCTGAATTCCTCCTGGTTACACTCCTGGGCGGGCCTGCCGTCCCATCTGACAGATGCGATCCAGCCCCCGTTCTCACTTCCCAACCAGTCTCCAGAGAATTGATGAATTGCTTGTGTTATGTCCTTTGATGAGTGAAACAGCTCAAGTTGGTTTTTAACTTTTTGCCACTGTACCATGAGTTCTTCTTGAATATATTGTCTTATCATGTCTGTTACCTCCTCCCTAGCTATGCGGACACCATCCATAGCAGGTCCTCATGAAAAATGGATGGAGTTGCTGGAGGTGGGGTGGTGGACTCTGCCTTCTCTTAGCCCTTCTTCTCTCCTCCCACCGCCTCTCCGTCTTTCTTTACATCTTTCTTCTCCTCCGATTCTTCTTCCACCTCCTCTGGCTCCATCTTTTTCATTTCCTCCTCCATTTTCTTTGTCTGCTTCTTTTTCCATCGTCTTTCCACCTTCTTCGTCTTCTTCTCGTCCTCCACCCTCTTCTGCTGCTCCTCATAGCCTGGGTCCAAGATTTGCTTCCCGGATTGGATGGTCATGGTGTGCATCTACCACATCCGGGAAAAGCCAAGTGGGAACATCATCCGGAGCAGGGGCTCCCAGATCACATTGAGGACAAGGAATGCAAACATGGGGTAATCGTCCATGGCAATTGGCAGCACTGGAGGTAAGTACATACTCCACCTCCTCACCACTTGTACCTACTCTGAACACTTATTCTACTACTACTAAGGGCGGACTGTTTTCTGCCTCTTCCCAGACTTTCACTATGGATTCCAAACAGGACGGGTGAGCCAACCAGCTATTTAAACATTGCCAGCAGTCCTCCGTAGGAATTCTTTGGCACGCCAAACAGGACAGCACAGCTCACCACTGCTTTGTACAGTTCAGTGGCACGCCGGTGAGTACCGATCATTGAGCTAGCCGGGTTGTTTTTCGAGCACCTGCTGCTCATGCCCGTGCTCCCTACTTTACGTGGTCTCTATCCAATTGTCGAGTCTCTGCCCTAACCTAGACCGACTCAAGCACAGACTCAAAGGACTCGAGAGATCTCAAGATGCAGACTCAACGGACTCAACAGACTCAACAGACTCAAGAGCGGACTCAAGATGACATCAACAGAATTTGCGATGCAAGTTGACATCAACATAATCCGTGAGCAGCACCATGTATACATCCAGGGAAAGCACCGGCAGATTCCAAAAAACAAAGCAGATTGCAAGAAGACAAGGTTTAGGGGACGAAGCACTTCACTCAAGTCTTCGTTTGATGATGCTCCTCACCCTGTGCTGCTCCTGCAGGTATGCGCCTCTCGCCAATCCCCACTTCCTTCGCCTCTTCTTCTACCGGCCTCCCCTCCTCGCAGTCAACCGCAATTCACCCCACCTCCCGCTGGCCTTACTCGATGCCGATGTCACTCTTCACCTTGCAAGTGTAAGGGAAGTTCACTCTCATAGCAGTGCAATGAACCCGACTCAAATTCAAGCTCAATTCATTACTCACAGGACACAGAACATTCAGAAAGGCAGTCTCTTCTCCTTCCCACCCTTGTCTCATCCCCCACCTTCTTCGTCTGTGGGATTATCTTGCTTTGAATAAGGAGCAAGAGTCCGCTTTGTCCATGCTCCTGCGTGATGGTGTATGTGTATGTCATGTCCTGAGTCGGATGAGTAAGATCTGGGGACGTTCACTCTTCCGCTGCATCACACTGTTGTTTTCTCACACTTAAGGGATTCCTTGCATCTGCAGCAAGCCTATCGAACGACAGGCATGTGACACCCTGAGTCACGCAGTAGTCCTCCTGGTCCATCAGATTGGACCTCGATCCGACAGCCCAGGAGGATGGTGGAAATCCTGGTCCAGAGGACCAGGCCGCCCTCCTGCTGCACCAGCAGTTTGTCCAGTCCAAATGTGGACAAAAAGTCTCCAGACCTTAAAAAGCCAACACAAGAAGCAGTGTACACTGGTCTGAACAGGCTTCGGGCTAGACAAACCAGGAACAGACAGAAATTTGAATGACATATAATGAAACTGGGCAAACATACACACGCTGCCTGACCATTAAAAGAACCTAGGGCCAGAAAAAGATTCACAGCCCTAGGACCACCCAAACTGTGGGCCATGTGGGAGGCCAGTGCATGCCATCTATATCATCCAGACGACTTGATAAGACCGATGGGACTGTGTTTGGGATCCCAATGGCATCCGAGTAACCATTGTGGCCTATCATCAGTGATTGAGTTACAGGCCCATGTAGTTGCACTTGGAAAACGAACTTTCAAACACTCTAACTCAGAGTTTAGTCCTTTATCGAATCGGCCACAGCCTACATGCACATTGTGATTTCCCTCTCATAGAGGGGTTGAGGACATGATTTTTCATGGTGAGCACATCAGTGCAAAACTTCCAATCCTGAAGGAGTATATCTGATGCTGAAGTCTTCAGCCCTAGGCACTTGGGGAAGCTCGCAAACGCATACTGGACTTTGGCCCCATCCCGTTTCTTTCTCCCCTGCAATCAAGACTGTTTTGTAGCTTTCATGTTGGCTGAAGCCATTGGTGTTAACTTTCATTCCTCTGTTTATCTTGCAATGGTTGCAGGATTCTCAGAGCAGAGGAAGACCATCAAAATCAAGATCTGGCAAAATCACAGCATCTGTTGGAGGCACTCAGAAGGTTAGCAGCCTAGTTCCAAATGTGTCAGATGCAAGAGAGAAGCCCAAACAGGCACCGTCATTGAATTTAGTGGCTCAGTTGCAGGCAGAGGCCACAGTTTGTGCAAATAAAACAAACACTGCTTCATCGATTGAGGAGAAGGCTGGTGTGGACACATCTAGAGAGAACTCGAGGTATCTCCGGACTGATGAGAGAGTTGGTATTGGGCGGTGGGCTGGGGAGAGGGATGTCTGTGTGTGGTCAGGAGGTGCCTCTCCCTCCTTGGAGGCACACCTTGATGATGTTCCACTTGGTAGTAGTCCTATGCTTAAGAGGCGGAGGAAAACGAAGTCCACGCTACTGAGAACAGTCAGCCTTGCGGCAATCGATACTGGGAAAAAGGGTGTGGCCGCAAAAAGCGCTGGGGCTGTTTATTCTGCCTCTGTTGCTAGTATTGGTGATGGCTCCTCTGTGAACCTATGTAATGATGGATTGGAAGGTCGGCATGCCGTCCCTCAGGGGCGTGAGGAAGGGAGGTCCTTTGCTGAAAGTGGCATCTTGACAGATGGGAGGACTGGGCATGCGACAGAGGCTCCTTCTTCCACAGGAGCATCACACGACACAGGGTTGACTGAGGCTTGTCTGCAGAGTGGAAATGAGACAAGGGCACCGCCGGAGGGCATTTGTAGTTTGAATACTGCAGTTCTACTTTGGCCGAGGGCAGCAGGTCCCGGTGTGGAAATGGCCGCTGTATCGCCACTGAGTGGAATAGATGCTATGCGGCTCAAGGAACGGTTGGGGAGAGAACCACAACATGCTGCACGACGAAAAGCAGCTCTCATTTTGCATGATGGAGAAGAAGTTCAAGCCAAAGGAAGGGAGGTGGGGCGAAGTGGATACAGCAGATCTTTGTCTGCTTATGGAAGGGTATCAGTGATAGGAATGGAAGGTGTGGATGGGGTGAAAGAGGCTAGCACAGAGGAGCGAGGGATACGAATTCCGTCCGGAAAGGCAAGGAGTGTGGACTATGCAGGTGAGGTGGAGGGTGTTGATGATGTCATAAAGGTCAAGAAAAGGCGGCAGCGTCCATCAACAAAGTCTCGACAGTCTGTAAAACTTGGACCTGGGGGGCTGATGGGTGGGGCTCAACTGGGTAGTGGATGGGCCATGGAATAGGTGCAGCCTTCATTTTGTTTCTTTTGTCGTGTTGAGTGGAAAGTGATCCTGCTGTAGGCGGCAATTTCATGTCGCTAGAGTTGGTCTTCAGTGTTATAGAGAATCTGGTTGGCTCAGCTTGAGCATTTGAGGAACCATGTTGTTGGTTAGCGAATACAGCTTCATACGGTCATAGTTATAGCGTCCAAAACTGAGGCCCGGTGTGGGGTCTTGGTTTTCCACGGACATGGCAAGATCTGCGGAAAATTGTGGGCAAAGGGAAAGTGTTTGGCCATGAGTATGCCACTGTTGTTGGTAACCGAAAACTGTGCGCGATATTCTGTGTGGTGTACTATAATAATATGATCATCAGTATCGGGCCAGCGGCCTAGCTCAGTTGGTTGAGCACGTAAGTGGTATTCAGGAGGTCGCCGGTTCGATTCCCCATGGCGTCCGTTCGGCTCCCCATGATCACTGGGGCACACTTCAGGTTCACCTCCTGAGGTAGCCGGCCGGACCCCCCTAGTGGGCCTTGGTAGGGGTAAGCTATGCCCCCTTCCATCCGCACCAGGAGTTACGGTCAACCCTGAGGGGATAGGAAGAGTAGGATAGATTGGCTAGCTTGGTATGCATAGATGTGTTTCCTCGTCTGTGGCTTAGATAGGTACGTAGCAGGTAGCTTTCTCCGAAAAAAATCATAACCCTTAGCATTTCATGCTATGCCGCCCGTACATACCTGAAGTTGCCTGGTCTCGGAATAGGTTAACTTCCTTGCTTACCTGGTGGGTGGATGGTTCCTTGCTTGTCTGGGGCAGGTAGTGAGAGGTACAATATTGAGAGAAGATGATAGCAATCATAGTAAAAAATGTCGCTGTCCCCCATATGAGGAGAAGACAAGCCAACATTTTCTTTTTCTTTTTCTTTTTCTTGATTAGAAAAAAAATATTAAAAATAAAAAAGATCATTTGTATGCTTCTCTACAAGGGTAAGAAAGAGTGCCCAGTTTGCCAGGGTCCAGCCTAGTTTTGCGTCCTTTTTATCATCTTTGGATTGACTCTCCTCAAAAGTGAGGGCAATGTATGCCTTCCATTGAGGTTATATGTATACCATTGGGGCAGTTGGTATGCTGCCCCCCAGTCATCCGACACTCTCTCTCTCTCTCTCTCTCTCTCTCTCTCTCTCTCTCTCTCTCTCTCTCTCTCTCTCT